ACAGAATACAGGGCCAATTTTCCAGGTAAATAATACATAATCGGTGGAGTGGCTCAGCGTCTCGGAAGTCATTAGTGAACTTACGCAAAGGGACGGCAGAGTGAAGAAGACGGCAAACCTTGTATGACAAGCGTGACGATAACTCTGTCTGAAAACAGTTTCCGCCAAACTTCACCTTCCTTTAAAAAGATCTGTTTGTACAAGATCAAAACACAATTATATTAATTGAACATCACAACATTAAAAACACACAGCTAATAGGCCCGTCATGTTTGTCACACACAGGCCTTTTTCCGTCATCTTTGTGCCGTCCTATTGCGTAAGTTCATTACTGATAAGCCACCGAGACACCAAGTTACTCAATCATAATACAGTCAAACCTGTATATAATGGCCCTAGTGAAAATAGCCTGTATATTACAGTCACAGGACAAATTCCCAAAATTTTCAGTTACCTTTTATTTTTTGCAAAGTTGACCTGTATATAGCAGTTACCCTGTACACACCTATTTGAATTAAGGTTGCCTCTGAGAAGAATGATACATGATCCATGTTTCGTAGCCCGCAGGGTATTATTGTAGGAATTCTAGTAAATTATGTGCCCCAACGAGCCTAAAAACCTAAAGAAAGCAAACGCTGCTAACGCTTCTATGCTATGTCAGCAGAACGTTAAGACAATGTATTTCAAAATACTGAATCCCAGGCTTTTTAATTTAAGACAGTGACTTGAGGTCAGGTTTTTCTCTGTGGAAATATGCAAATGCTGCAAATTTTCAATGAGTTTGCTTAGCTCGTGCACATGCGGAATTTTGGATGGAGTTAAAATAAATCAAACTCCAGACGTTTCTTGAACAAAAATAAATAACTTAACATTATGTGTTTATCTATTTTTGAGGCAATTTTTTTAAAACTGAATAAAAAAAAATGAATAGCGTTGATTTGCTTTATTGAAATAACCAGTATTCTGGCCCATGCAAAAATGCAGCTTAATCAGGTGGTAAAACCCTATTTATTTAATGTTGTTGAAAGAAAAGGCTTCTAATTTTTTACTATGAGATTTTAAAAACGAAATTTTTCAGCTCACCCATGTTTAAGAATCTTAGCAGCCATTTGACTTGAAAGCTCTCTTGAACACCTTTTCACAAATGGTCTCCATTATTTCAATGAATGTGAACAAGCTAAACTTCCCACTACAAAAGGGTTTACCATAGTGCAGTGCAGGCTATGAAGCATGGTTTACGGGAGCAACCTTAATTGAAATAGGTGTATAACGGTTAGCATTAGATAACATTGAGTGAAGCCAGATTAAACACCTTATGAATTTTACACAATGCGTTATTTCCATAATGGAACGAGACTGGAATGTAGAATGAGGCTAGAATAGCTGAAGAAACCAAAACTACAGAGCGCCAGTTATGGAGAGAACACAGTAGAGAGTTAAGCACTGATCTGCAGTGATTAGGGTTAAGCACTGAACTGAAAATGGTTAGCTTTCAATTATTGTAATGGGGTACGTCATATATAAGAACATGTATATTTAAAAAATTACTGGATTTGGCAGCTAGTCCTCGTTGGTGTAGTGGATATGGATGTAGGCTATAAAGCAAGTGACCTAGGTTCAAAGCATCGCAGTGGAGTTTTTCTATTTCACTTTTACATTACACAGTAAAGTTGGACTTAAGTTGTTCTTCATCTAATTTTACTGAAAGAAGCAATCTGACTTCAGCCGATGTTACCTAATGCTAACTGTATATAATGGTTACCTTGCCATTTCCCAGGGGTTACTGTTGTACACAGGTTTGACTGTAAAGCCTTTCTCATGCAACTCTAACCTCGACTGACGACCCACCAAGATACTGAACCATTAAAATATATACCTTAAACACTTGTTCTTTTAAATGTATCGTTATATGTCTTTGTTAAGTCTGTCTGATACTCAGATGCCTTATATCTTTTTCATTCTATAACTAGTGAGCCACCAAGCCATTTTGGTTAAAGGTAACTGTAAGTATTAGTCACGTTAACCCTTTAAGCCTCAATATCCACTTACAAATTCTCCAAACTGATCTCTATATATTTCCTTAAAGAATGAGTTGAGAGAATTTCATAAAAGATCAAAGAATTCTCTCTCAGGTGATCATTTCATGACACCTTTTGCTGTTCAATAAGAGAAAATACACATTTATTTGCGTGAAACGGCGACCAATGGCACGAAGATACATTCATTAGCACAAAACAATGAACATTTACATAAACAGATTCATCATAAAAATGTTAAGGAGCGTTGCTTGCACTTCAATGTTTATCTATTGTCCCTCTTGACTTTCAAGATGGTGTTAATGACTTGCATTTTGGCGTTAATGGAAGTATAATTATAATTTTCTTTTTTGTATGTTTCGAATGATGCATATGAATGCCCAAAAATGTTATTGAAATATGTTGATTAATTATGCAAAAATCATAATTGAATATGATTTATGCACAAATGTTCCTTTTTTTTGCTCTAATGAATGGATCTCTGCACTATTGGTCGCCGTTTCACGCAAATGAATGCATATTCTCTTGTAATGAACGGCAAAAGGTGTAATTCTCATAACCTTTTCTTTCGATGATGTATGGATATCGTTAGGACAAAATTGATGTTGGTCACTATTGGGACTTATAGCAAAATTCCTTGTAGCCCAAAGGGCTCCCAAAAAATTCTCTTAGGCAGCAGCCTTGCTCTAAGGAAAATGCAGATGTTCACTTGCACTTCCTGACCATTTGTTACTGCTAGTTATAGCAGTTCTAAATTTGATTTGGGTTGAGATGAATGCTTTTCAAACTGGCAAAACCAGTGGTTCCATCGCTGACTGTGTCCCTTAAACTAATCTATATAAGGACCAAAATCAGTGTTAAAAAAATTCATTATTATTTATTCTTTTTCAGTGTGACTTGAAATCATAAAACGCAACCCCTAATTTGTGTTGGGTATTCTTTGCATTATTAGGTGTCCTGTGTAATTAATAAGGGAGATTTTTTTGAGATTGCATTTTCGTCCTCAACACACATTTGCCTCACTTTGACGTGCTAACTCATGGTGATTCTTGTGTCCTCTGCGTTCATCTTTCAGAGGTTTGCTGAGGTCTGATATTGTGTCTTCATAAAGCGTTCATCTTTTAAAAAGTTTGCTGAATCTTCGTAAATTGACATTGATTGTAAAATTGATTGGAAAAGTTTGAAAAAATCCATAAAAATCCATTTTTTATTTGAGAAATTGCTGCAAATTTCAACAATTTTCAGGGAAGCAGTACAAGCACACAAAAGCTCCTATTGACTTGATGTTGCACATGCAGTTACCAGTTACCCAAAGCTTTAAGACTGCGTAAAATGTCCCGCAAAATAACTTTTGTAATACAGTTTTGGGCTTTCATTGCTTGCACCTTGATTGTGTGTTGTTTCGGCAGCCAAAATAATGCCCAACTTTAACCGCAAAAAGTCGATCCTGGTATGTCTCAAATTTAAAATTATTATACTACATGAAAGAGCTGTGCTTCTTTTCACTAGATCTGAAGTTTCAGCTCTGAGAATTTAAACGCTTGCGAAAAACAAAATTTAAATATAGCGACTCGGGCCACCGTGAGCGACAAGAACATGAAATGTAAACAAAGCGATAAAACTGTGTCAACAAAGGAGAAAATAACACCAAGTTATTTCTAACCCACCAAAGCGTAAAGAAATGATGAAAATTTAGGTATCTAAATAGGTATTGCTATCTGAAAAGCTAAAAAGGCGAAATTGTCCTTCGAAAAATATAAAAACATAAAAAAAATTGTGAAAAACGAGCAACTGAGAATCGCGTCGGGTGACCATTTAATTCTGAACTCTGAATTAAAATGCTTCGAGATGGTCAAGTCCAAAATTCTTCAAGGACTGTTTTCGAAATGCCCCTATAAACTATCGACGAACTAGGCAAGATGATAGATTTACTTTAGTAAAAATGAATGTAACAAGAAGTCGGAATCATGATTACAAATGACTCTTCTACAAAATGAGTTTTAAACGCAAGTCCTGGATTTTTCAATGTTACCTTTCAGAGTCCATTTTTTTCTCATGATGCAAGGCTCTGCATCTCATCTTCATAACATGACTTAAAAACTAGCAATTAACTAAAAGTTCAATATTCCGCTGATTTATAAAAAGGTTGCGGCGTACAGTTGGTTCCCAAAACAGACCTGTAACTTGGTGTCATGTTACATGTATGGTAATTTGAATAAATTACCCTGTAGCCCCTTCACGCAATCTTCCACAGAGTACACATGACACATGCTATAATCTTTAGCTCCAGCAAAGTCGAATGTAATGTAAAACGCTTGGGGATTTCTTAATATCATTTCTTGAAATAGATCACCTAAATGGTTGTTTGGGTGGTATAAGCCAAAATTAGAATTTTTAGAACTGATTTGAGATTCTCTATATTTTCCCTCCCCCCCTCTCTAATAATCCTCCCTCTCTGTTAATCTCCCCCATCAAACATGCGTGAAATGAAAAGGCCCCCAGGGAGCTTAATAGAGGATTTATGGTAATACACTGCGTTCAACTATATTGTCTACAATAATATGAATTCTGTATGATGAACCTCAATTACCATAATTTTAAAAGTGTGTTATTTTACAAACCATAAGGAACTCTAGGTCCAAATACAAAGTCAACAAATAATCAACTAACCAATATATTGATGGATTCTCTAGTTTGAAGGGTTCATGTAAAATTTTAGGTATGTAATCAGGTGGTTTAAGGTGTGGAACCACTTTTTCTTGAGTGCGTGTCTTAAAAGTTTTCTAATTTTCCACATGTCCCTCACAACACCACCTTTAAACTACTCACTTCAGGCCTCTCACCACCAGGCCGCAAAGGTTATGCTGGTGGCAACAAAACAAATAATCTGTATTTACCTAATTATGGTTCTTCATCTTTCCAAAGGTATCCTAACTGTAAAACCTTTAAATCAGAGCAACCTCAACGTCCTTTGAGTGTCAGCAGAGTGGCAAGTGTGTTAACAATGCAGGGCATGTTAGGGCTCATAAAAGATTCCACACCGGGGAAAAGCCATATGAATGTAAACAGTGTGGCAAGTGTTTTAGCCAAGCAGGACACCTAAGGAGCCATGAAAAAGTTCACACTGGGGAAAAGCCTTATAGATGTAAACAGTGTGGCAAGTGTTTTAGCCAAGCAGGACACCTAAGGAGCCATGAAAAAGTTCACACTGGGGAAAAGCCTTATAGATGTAAACAGTGTGGCAAGTGTTTTAGTCAAGCAGGAAGCCTAAGGAGCCATGAAAAAGTTCACACTGGGGAAAAGCCTTATAGATGTAAACAGTGTGGCAAGTGTTTTAGTCAAGCAGGAAGCCTAAGGAGACATGAAAGAGTTCACACTGGGGAAAAGCCATATGAGTGTAAACAGTGTGGAAAGTGTTTTGGCCGAGCAGTAAACCTAAAGAGCCATGAAAGAGTTCACACTGGAGAAAAGCCTTATGAATGTAAGCAGTGTGGGAAGTGTTTTACTCAGGCCAGTAATCTAAGAACTCACGAGAAATTTCACACTAAAGAAAAGCGTCATGAATGTACACAGTGTGGCAAGTGTTTTACTTTGGCAGATAGCCTGAAGAAACATGAAAGAATCCACACTGGTGAAAAGCCTTATGAATGTAAACAGTGTGGCAAGTGTTTTAGTGTATCAGGAAACCTAATGAGACATAAAAGAGTTCACACTGGGGAAAAACCTTACGAATGTAAACAGTGTGGCAAGTGTTTTAGCGAAGCAGGAAGCCTAAGGACTCACAAAAGAGTTCACACTGGTGAAAAGCCATATGAATGTAAACAGTGTGGCAAGTGTTTTAGCCAAACAGGACATCTAAAGGTTCATCAAAGATTCCATACAGGGGAAAAACCTTACGAATGTAGACAGTGTGGCAAGTGTTTTAGTGGAACAAGAAACCTAAAAACTCATGAAAGAGTTCACACTGGGGAAAAGCCTTTTGAATGTAAACAGTGTGGCAAGTGTTTTAGTGTAGCAGGAAACCTAAAATCTCATGAAAGAGTTCACACTGGGGAAAAGCCTTATGAATGTAAACAGTGTGGCAAGTGTTTTAGTGAAGTAGGAATGCTAAGGATTCATGAAAGAGTTCACACTGGAGAAAAGCCGTATGAGTGTAAACAGTGTAGCAAGTGTTTTAGCCAAGTAGGAAACCTAAGGAGTCATGAACGAGTTCACACCGGGGAAAAGCCTTACGAATGTAAACGATGTGGCAAGTGTTTTAGCAAAGCAGGAGACCTAAGGAGACATGAAAGAGTTCACACTGGAGAAAAGCCTTATGAATGTAAACAGTGTGGCAAGTGTTTTAGCCGAGCCGAACATCTAAAGGTTCATCAAAGATTCCATACGGGGGAAAAACCTTACGAATGTAGACAGTGTGGCAAGTGTTTTAGCGAAGCAGGAAGCCTAAGGACTCACGAAAGAGTTCACACTGGCGAAAAGCCTTACGAATGTAAACAGTGTGGCAAGTGTTTTAACCAAGCAGGAAACCTGAGGAGTCATGAAAGATTCCACTCTCGGGAAAGGTCACATAAGTTTTCTCAGAAAAAGAAACGTCTGTCGAAACGTTTGGAATCCTTTAAACGGAAGAGAGCAGGAAGTGAAAACGTTGATGTCAGGGCCACAGGCTTTACAGAGAACCAGCAGACACAGGGAGAAACCGGAAACAATGGTGTAACAGATGCACGATCGGTCATTGTTGAGAAACACAGATGTTGGATCTGTCAAGAGGAGATGAGTAGTGAGGCTCTTCTTCTTCAACATTATGAAAATCATATGAACCGTGTTTGTGACGATTATTCTTGAAGTTAAAAAACGTTGTAAGTTCTTCTCTTTTGTTAGTTTTTTTATTCGTGCTTTGGCAATATTTTTTATTTTTGCAACTCTTAAATTTTCAATTGGTTTTTTTAGAGCATCTTGCTTTTATACTTGTGGTTCATTTGATGTGCATGATTGTCAAGTTGGAATAAACGATGAAGGGACAACTTCTGTATTAATTCTTCCATAAAGGAAAACCTCGATTTAAATCAAAGTCTTCGTGTCTCTTAGTTTAGTCTGCTACAGAGCCGTTTTTAGTGTCGTCACGCAACGCTCCTCCCCACAAACGGTTTGTGGGATGAGCGTTGCTGACTCTTATTTTTAAGCTTTACATTTGTACGTGACCACTTACAGAAGACTTTAACTTTTCATGATATGAATGGAAAGAAACTTTTTCCTTACAATGTAAAAAAAGCTTTCTTACTTTCATCCATATTCTACAGTCTTGTATTTATGATGTTCTTGTAGCCGTGGTTTCTGGAACTGTTACCCCTAATAAAGAATACCAATTAAGCAATAGAAAACGTTTTCCGTGTTTGCATAGCCTGATATAAACACGAGAGGGGTTGGGAGAATTCGAGACAGTTATAGAAACCCAAGACGAGGTCGGGGGTTTGCATAACTGTCCAGAATTCTCCCAACCCCTCGAGTGTTTATATCAGGATATGCAAACACAGGAAAAAGTTTTCTATTGCTTTTATAAAATAACTTTCCCGAGAAAAAAAGCAAAACGCTCTTGTTTAGAGCATTGATTAAACTTGTACGCGTAATCAGTCTTTGTTTTGCAAAAAAGATGCTTTCCAAAATACGGGTTTTTCTCGCTTAAAATGGCACCTCAAGCGAAAAAAAATTGACATAGTATGTTTCTAAAGATTTTCCAAGTTTCAACCGACGAGGAAATGGGTAAATAAAGTATACTTGTCGAGTTTTTCGACTCAAAACCTTTTTCAAATTCGTGCTTGCGTGATTAGCGCGCGGAAAGTCAAACAAGTTGACGTCACAACCATGTTTACATACTTTCATGCAAACACGCCTCTCGGCCAATCAGAGCGCACGTAGTATCTTAGTTATTTTATAATCACTTATTAATGACTTTGGAGAATATTTATTGGTGTTTAAAGGCCCTATGTATCAAGTGGGATAGTATAAAGTGCCCGATTCCAGTAAGTTGCTTGATACTACTACAACTTTATGGTCGACTTAATAATTCCAAGAAAATAAAACCAAGTAATTGGTGGTTCAAATTCGATTTTTAATGCCTTTGTAGTGGCGGATCTAGGGGAGAGGCCCGGGGGACAAGGGCCCCCTCCCCTTATTTCTAGACCAAACTGAGGCCCGAAGGGCGGAAAAAAAAATTGGGGGAGACCTGCCCCCACTCCCCCTATCTAATCGTCTGGATCCGCCACTGCTTTGATCTCTTGCCGAGTTTTGTTAGTCCTTGTCTGGTAACCACTATGGCTGAGATCAAACCCACTTCACACCAATTTATCTGTTATAGACAACGAAAATTAAACTTTTCAAGCTAAATTGGAACTGTTTTTCTTATTATTTAGACATTCGCAGCAACGAAGATTTTTTGTTACACTATACAGCGCATGCCGTGTAAGGGATTCTGCCGTATTTCTATCGTTTAAGCGTTTTCTTGTGGAAAGGCGAAGACGATTGAAATACGTTGCTGTTTTGGGTTGCGTTCCTTTTAACCAATCTAAAAAATGCGGATTTTGCGATCCGAAATTTGATTTTTCGTTGCATCAAGAACTAAATTAATCTAAGATTGCAATCTGAACGATACAACACCGTACTTGCATCGTTCAGATTGGTATCTCAATCTGGTTTCGGATTTTTGTTCCATTTAACGAAGCTGCTTTTCGATCGCAAGAACTTGCTCGCTCATCAATAATGATGTTAGTTCAGGCAAAAGTTATTTATACTCCTCCTTTGTTCTGTGCCGCTAAAGGATTGTGGTATATTAAACTTAAGTTCCACTGTAACTAAATCCGTAAGCAAGCGAAAACGCTTAGATTTTTTCACCGTTTTAAAGTTGTCCAATGTGTGTGTTTAAAGCCCAGTGGGCTACGGGGGGGGGAGGGGGAGGGGATACTCCGGAGTTCAAGTGACAGGGATGATCGAATGGGGAAAAAATCAAAACCCGCTAAAATTCCTAGGGCTTTAAACAAAACCCAAACAACTTCCTGGACCAAAATTTAACCAGCAAAAAAATACCGTGCCGAGCCATAAAAATTTCCAGGAAGCGTTAAATGATATAAGTATCATGAATCTTCAGATTGTTTTGAATACCCAAAACAATCCCTACTTAAATCAAGCTGCCCAATAAATACTTGCCAAATTTTTCCTACCCAAACAAATCCCGAAATCGAAAATTTGAAACCGAAAAAAGTCCTTTGATCATCCCTGTCACTTGAAATCCGTATTGCCGCCCCCCGCTGGGGTTTAGAGCGCGCTTCTCAGCACTGGAGAATTTGCAATTGCCTTCTGAATGTTCTTGAATCAAATTCCAGATAGTTTTAAGTTGACAAGTGGCAAAGTGGCAAGAGCCTGAAACACCACTAGTTAAAGAGCAACGTTTCTTTCCATTTCTCCACCGTGAAGAGAAGCCGCTGAATTTAAGGGAAAGTGTTGCAATTGAGAAGAAGATCAGAGTAGCAAGGCAGCTGCTGTATGGATCAATCCAGTTATTTCAAATGTTTGTTCCGGGTAGCACGAAAATTCAAACAATCTGGAATTTTTCGGACGCGTTAGTGTCCGGATATTAGGTTGTGATAGCCAAGATTAGACAATTTTGTGATGGTTTGAAAGTTTGATATTCGACACAATTAATTTTGAAAATGAGGCATAGTTTACATTAGGTTTATAGAAAAAAAACTTTCGTTTACCATGTTTATCACCGCCTGTCGCCGTGTTTTTTTTTTCATCAATCTAGTATGATGACCTAAAAGATTATAGCAAAACTAGTTTTACCAGTTATCTCTGATTCTCCGCATTTCAGTAAAATAAAATTAAAGGAATATTTAACCAATAGTTCCTGTTAAGTCTGAACACAAATATACTAAGGGACTTGTAAGTCAATTCACACTTTACCCACAGAAAAAAAAATTTAAATGTACAGATTGGACAGAGAATATTGAATAAGTGAATGTGATCATATCCGCTGAAAAAATGGCTAATTCAAGAAAATCAGTTAGCTTAAAAAAAATACAAAAACCCATTGAGATAAAACTAAAGTTATAGAAATACCAGCTAAATTTTTTAAATGATAAATCCATCATCGAAACGTCAAGAGTCTATCAAGCCAAGCTCCTTAAAGAACTGTTCAGATTTAGTTCTCTTACATACGATGGATACTACTTCGTGCGCCTCGTTTTCTCTTAACTTAAGCCTTTGTAAGCTGGATTTGTCTGCACTCAGTATCAAACTGAAGTTACTAGAGTCGAACTAATCCGTCTATGGCCCTCGTGGCAGGCGCTTGGAAGGGAAGAGAAAATGGGTGTTTTGGCGCGGCCCCCTCGCGTTTCTTTCGCGCTTAAAACCCCCTTTCCCTTCCCTTTCAAACGCCTGCCACGCAGGCTAATCTGTGTATTTTGGCGTATTTTGATGAAAGAGTAGCCGTGTGTCTGTGCATAGGCGGCTGCCGATAAACCGCCTTTACTCTTTAGTGTCAGGAAAACAACCAATCTGGCATTTATGTCTTGCACTGAACTTGCTCCCGATATTGGTCCCGGCGCAACCACTTGAACTGCCGCTCGGTAATCGAACTTAATCGAACTCAATCGAACGATTAGGTTCGATTAAGCTCGGTAATTGAACACAGTCGAACCAAAAAAATTCGTGAGAGATCGATTTCCGCACTCAATCGAAGCAATCGAACTTAATTGAACGTTCTAATCTACGCTTAAAATAGGCAAGAACAAATCAACAAAACAACCAAATTATCTAAGATCATTAAGAATAAATGTTCCGGGTTTATTGGATTCGCTTGATCGCTTTGTTTTACTATAGCGCTGCTTAGTTTCCCTGGTCCACGTGGCAGATGCAAAAGTGGAGAAGGTCTTAACCTAAAAGGGACGCTATAAAGTAAAAAAGTCTTTAACGGAGCATAATATTCACTGTGTGATTCAGGATAAGATTGCAATATGGCAATAATAGTCTTGTTCTTCTCGGGTGTTCCTCTTCTTGCAAAAAATATCCGCCACAACCACTCCCGGAATAGTCAGTGGTAGGACACTCTACAAAAAATAAAACATTCGTGAAAACACGTAGCCTGAAATTCATCCGATTGCTTCGAGTCCGTTACTGAAGGAGTAATAACGACTCGAAGTAATCGGATGAAATTCAGACTAGAAAACACGCGCAATTTCCTTTATAACGTCCCATTTTTTAATCGAATGAATGCCAACTTCGACCGCGTTGAACCTAATCGGACTCAATCAAAGTTCGATTTAATTACCTTTTTTTTTTTGCGAGAATTCGATTGTGTTCGATCACCGAACTTAATCGAACATTATCGGTCGATTAAGTTCGATTAAAAAACGTTCTATTTAGTTCGAGTGGTTCCGGTAGAGGAAAAGTTTGAAAGCAGATTTCATCATCCTCTGACTTGTAGCAACCAGCTTAACATAACTTTTAGTACAACTGACAATCATTCCATTGTCACTGAGAACTGTATTTAAAAATAATGAAATTTTCTTTGAAGGACAAGAAACCCGGGAAAACACCAGAAGTCAAAGTTCAATCACAGAGTCAGATATGGATGCGTTTTGTTGTATTTTATTAGTAAGCGGGGACCGTTTTTCATTGATCTGATCAAAGTCCGTGGTTTTTACTTCACCCCGGCGCTCCACACCCACCTCGGGCTTGGCCTTGCTTGCTTAAAAAACGCGAAGTGCATCTTCACTGTAAACACTTCCAAAGAGGTTTAAAACATGCAAAATATTTTCCAAAAAGAAACCTGAAGGAAGGGTAAGTGATAGACTTGACTATCACAACTAAATACTGCAGAGGAAATTCCACAACATTCCCAAATCACCGTAACAAATTACGGGAGCGGGCATTGCCCTCANAGTCAAAGTTCAATCACAGAGTCAGATATGGATGCGTTTTGTTGTATTTTATTAGTAAGCGGGGACCGTTTTTCATTGATCTGATCAAAGTCCGTGGTTTTTACTTCACCCCGGCGCTCCACACCCACCTCGGGCTTGGCCTTGCTTGCTTAAAAAACGCGAAGTGCATCTTCACTGTAAACACTTCCAAAGAGGTTTAAAACATGCAAAATATTTTCCAAAAAGAAACCTGAAGGAAGGGTAAGTGATAGACTTGACTATCACAACTAAATACTGCAGAGGAAATTCCACAACATTCCCAAATCACCGTAACAAATTACGGGAGCGGGCATTGCCCTCAGCGGTTAGCATCAGTCATTTTAGTCCATGAGGTCTTCGTTTTAGTCCATGGGGTCTTCGTTTTAGTCCAAGGGGTCTTTGTTTTAGTCCAAGGGGTCTTCGTTTTAGTCCATGGGGTCTTCGTTTTAGTCCATAGGATCTTAGGTCTTAGGTCTTCGTTTTTGGGTCTTCGTTTCAGTAACACCCCTTTGACTGAAAATAAAATAATGTTCTATGGAGTAACTGTTCGTTCTTCTAAGGGCATCTCTTACTTTAAACAAGACAGCAGCTTTTATCCCGTGTAATTTTCTGATCAACTCTCTACTGTAATATATCTCTAAGTAGTCTATGTAACATCACTCCTTCCAGCCTGAGTGATTTTTATCTCATCTCACAACAAATCAAGTGACTTCGCTTCAGGTGTAGGAAACTACAATCGACAACAAAATTATCGAGGCATTGTACTCAACTAGGGTAATAACTACAGAGAACAAAAGAATCCACCTACCTCCCCACTCCCCTTCATTCAAAGTTGCAGTTTTTGTTGTTTTCTATAGGTAGCTCAAACAGCGGCACAACATTGCATGGAGGGGATGGGGGAGGGAAAGCTTTATTTCCCCTTTAGAAGTCAGTAAAGCATCAGCTTTGGGGCAAAGTGTCTCAACTACATTGTAATTTTGTCACCCATTGTAGCTCTAGATTGTAGCAATACACACATACTTCCACTTAGGAAAAGGAAAAGAAAAATAGAGCAGTTTATTGAATGTTGATTAATTATGCAAAAATCGTAATTGAATATGATTTATGCACAAATATTCCCTTTTTTCACTCTAATGAATGGATCCTTGCGCTATTGATTGCCGTTTCATGCAAATGAATGTATATTTTCTCGTAATAAACAGCAAAAGGTGTAATTCTCATAAACTTTTCTTTGAGGATCCATGGATATCGTAAGGAGAAAATTAATGTTGGTCACTATTGGGACTTATAGCAAAATTTGTTGTATCCCGCTGTGCATTTTGCATATTTTGGGTTTTTGTGTTCCCTCAATCATCTGAGGGAATTCTTAGAAAGTACATATTTACTTGCACGAGTTCAAAAGGTCATGGTTTGTCATTAGTTATTGGTGGATCTTGCTCTGTTTTGTTTGTTTCCTGTTACAAGGCTTGTTGCTTTGTGACGGTCCTGTTTTGGGCAATAATCGACTGGTTAAGTTTGCTTTGCAGATTTTTATGATCTTTCTCATTCTTGTCACTTTCAAGAATAAAGCAATGTCTGCCTCCTTCCTTCGACAAAAAATCCACTCACTATCGCGATTTCCTTCGCTATTCTTGAGCAGTCGGAGTCATTCTCAGCCAAGCTGGGCGAGCATGTTACATTGTGATTTGCATTAACCTTGCCTTCACTAAAATGCATGATTCACGAACAGAAAAACCCAGAATCCGTTCTAAGTTTGCAAAACACGCAGCACCATACAACAAATTATGCTGTAAAGGATTCAGTGTCTATGTCTATGTCTATGTCTAAATGATCTTGAATAACTGCCATGAAGATTTTCAAAAACTGATATGTTTTTGCAAGCCTTTCAAAAGTTCCACAAAACATACAGCAAAAAATAAGGATGCATAGGTAACGCTGAATAAATGATAAAATACACCTCTAATTGTACCATTCGTGTTCGTAGTAAGATAGAAAACACTTGCAAAAACTTGCAAAATTAAAAATAAAATACTTTTTGTCATGTGTTAATGAAATCTCTTGCTTTTCCATACATCACGATTTTGTATCATTTTACTACATACAATAGTGACCTAACGTTTCTAATGCTGGGGAAAAAATACTGAGTCAATTTTCCAAACTTTAAGATAAAAAACCTTTCGGTTTTTCCAAGACTATAAAATTCATTTGACTCCATTTTGAGACAAGAAACTTCAACTACGCTGCAGCAAGACAAGTGCTTGTTTGTTTACGTTTTATTGGCGGAAATATTTTTTTCCTATGGCTGACGAGCAAACGTTTTCTGTTTTTGTTTCAAAAATGCAGAATGAGCAGGGAATGTTGTTGTTGATTTAATGGAAGTTATCCTAAGAATCATGATATTTATGCACCCGTTCAGGTTTCTTGTTTCAAATTTTGGTCGCCCCTAAGTAGATTGTAGGAGCCTCTGGTGACCAGGCCCCCATTGGGCAGTAGCCTTGAAACTGCCTAGTGTAAAGCACGTAAATAGATACCTTGACAAGTATAAAAACAGTTGTTAGACTTCATACAAAAATACTGAGTCAATTTTCCAAACTTTAAGATAAAAAACCTCTCGGTGGTCCTTCTATATTAACTTTGTATTTGCAACTGTACATGCAAGTGCTCTTGCCTTTACCGTTTGTTGTTTTTGCGAATGGTTGTTTTTATTTTTCTTAAGAAATAGATTGTGTCTCAAAATCCGTTCAAATGGTAAATATAAAAATTGCTTGTTTCTGGAAACTCAAGACTCAATGTTTGCGTTTTAAAACTCAATTTGTTGTAGTTTGAAGTGTTCTTCTGTTTTCATCTCATCATGCAATGTTCATTAGCGTTGTGTAATGAGAGAAAGTTGTCTGTGTTTCAAGGAGAGAGAATCAAGTCTCGAGGAAGTGGTCAAGATTGTCAACTTTAGATACAGACACTATCAATATGGTCATTCTGATGAACTAATTAAAACTAGGTTTAGGTACACTGGCTGTAGGGGTCTGTTCTTGAAATACAATACAGCAAATAATATCTCTAGTACAGGAAAAAGGAGATTGTCCCTTGAATGTTTGTCGATCCTTTACTACCGTATGCTACCATTTGTGCCCTTAAGTTTGATAAACAATAAATTTGAAGATTATCGATCAACAGATTAGTGCACAGTTTGTCGTGAGCTAGAAGTGTGACACATAAATAAAGTTACTGTCTTTTTTAACTCTCAGATCCAAATACAAAGTCAACAAATACCGTAATATTCCGAAAATAAGCCTCGGGGCTTCTATTTTTCAAAGGCCCTTTTTGAGGGGATTATTTTTGGAGGGGCCTGTATTCGGAGGGGCTTATCTGTGGAGGGAAATTTGCGTTTCAGAATTGATTGGGCTAGCCTTATACTTGGAAGTAAATTGACCATTTTTGCTTTGTTTTACTTTGAATTTGAGGGCTATTTTCCAAGTACAAGCCCCCGGGAGGATTATATTTGGGGGGAGCGATTTAACGGAGGGTTTTTCGCGTTACTGGTTTGGGGGGCTTATATTTGGAGGGGCTTATACATGGAGGGGCTTATTTTCAGAATTTTACGGTAATCAACTGACCCATGTTGATGGATTCTGTAGTTTGAAGGGTTCCATAAAACTTCAGGTATGTAATCAGCTGGTCTATGGTGTGCAACCACTTATTCATGACTGGGTGTCTTAAAAGTTTTCTAATTTTCCACATTTCCCTGACAACACCATCTTTAAACTACTCCCTTAAGGCCTCTCACCACCAGACAGGGTTCTATCTAGCATTTATCATTTGGGGGAGAAGTCCTGAGTGGCCGAAGGTGACAAGCCTCCTAGAGGGNGCGATTTAACGGAGGGTTTTTCGCGTTACTGGTTTGGGGGGCTTATATTTGGAGGGGCTTATACATGGAGGGGCTTATTTTCAGAATTTTACGGTAATCAACTGACCCATGTTGATGGATTCTGTAGTTTGAAGGGTTCCATAAAACTTCAGGTATGTAATCAGCTGGTCTATGGTGTGCAACCACTTATTCATGACTGGGTGTCTTAAAAGTTTTCTAATTTTCCACATTTCCCTGACAACACCATCTTTAAACTACTCCCTTAAGGCCTCTCACCACCAGACAGGGTTCTATCTAGCATTTATCATTTGGGGGAGAAGTCCTGAGTGGCCGAAGGTGACAAGCCTCCTAGAGGGGTCCGCAAACCCCCCCACCCCCGGATGAAATCTGGTGCATTTTGAGACACAATTTTGAGAAATGTTATAGTGTATGCACTAACCTTGTCGTGTCTTGATGATTTTTTCAATATCGTTACTTATATACTGTAATGATAACAATATTTTTTGGGGGGAAGCTGGGCATTTTGGGGGGAAGCTTCTACCCCTCAAATACCCTAGAAAGAACCCTGCCAGGCCACAAAGGTTATGCTGGTAGCAACAAAACAAATATTGCGTATTACCTAATTATAGTTTTTCATCTTTCCAAAGGTATCCTAACTGTAAAACCTTAAAAGAAGAGCAACCTCAATGTCCTTTGAGTGTCAGAAGTGTGGCAAGTTTTTTAACAATATAGCACACTTTAGGGCTCATGAAAGAGTTCACACTAAGGAAAAGCCTTATGAATGCAAACAGTGTGGCAAGTGTTTTAGTCAGGTAGGACACCTAAAGCGTCATGAAAGAGTTCACACTGGGGAAAAGCCATATGAATGTAAACAGTGTGGCAAGTATTTTAGCCGATCAGGAGTCCTAAGGAATCATGAAAGAGTTCACAGTGGGGAAAAGCCTTATGAATGTAAACAGTGTGGCAAGTGTTTTAGTGAAGCAGGAAACCTAAGGAGCCATAAAAGAGTTCACACTGGGGAAAAGCCATATGAATGTAAACAGTGTGGCAAGTGTTTTAGCCAAGCAGGAAACCTAAGGAGCCATAAAAGAGTTCACACTGGGGAAAAGCCATATGAATGTAAAAAGTGTGGCAAGTGTTTTAGCCGATCAGGAGACCTAAGGAAACATGAAAGAGTTCACATTGGGGAAAAGCCAAATGAATGTAAAAAGTGTGGCAAGTGTTTTAGCCGATCAGGAGACCTAAGGAAACATGAAAGAGTTCACATTGGGGAAAAGCCATATGAATGTAAAAAGTGTGGCAAGTGTTTTAGCCGATCAGGATTCCTAAGGAAACATGAAAGAGTTCACACTGGGGAAAAGCCTTATGAATGTAAACAGCGTGGCAAGTGTTTTAGCGAAGTAGGAACCCTAAGGAGCCATGAAAGAGTTCACACTGGGGAAAAGCCTTATGAATGTAAACAGTGTGGCAAGTGTTTTAGTGTAGCAGGACACCTAAGGAGACATGAAAGAGTTCACAGTCGGGAAAAGCCTTATGAATGTAAACAGTGTGGCAAGTGTTTTAGTCAAGCAGGACACCTAAGGAAACATGAAAGAGTTCACACTGGGGAAAAGCCTTTTGAATGTAAACAGTGTGGCAGGTGCTTTAGCGCAGCAGGATGCCTAAGGAGACATGAAAGAGTTCACACTGGTGAAAAGCCTTACGAATGTAAACAGTGTGGCAAGTGTTTTAACCAAGCGGTAAACCTGAGAAGTCATGAAAGATTCCACACTCAGGAAAGGTCGCATAAATTTTCCCAGAAAATCAAATGTCTGTCCCAGTCCAAACGATTGGAATCCTGTAAACGGAAGAGAGCAGGAAGTGAAAACGTTGATGTCAGGGCAACAGGCTCTACAGAGAACAAGCAGACACAGAGAGAAACCGGAAACACTGGTGTAACAGATGCACGATCGGTCATTATTGAGAAACACAACTGTTGGATTTGTCAAGAGGAGATGAGTAGTGAGGCTCTTCTTCTTCAACATTATGAAAATCATATGACCCATGTTTGTGACGATGATTCTTGAAGTTTAAAAAACGTTTTGGTCGTTTTAAGTTCTTCTCTTTTGTTTGTTTTTTTGGTGCTTAGACAACATCTTTTATTTTTGCGACTCTTAAAGTTTCAATTGGTTTTGTTTAAAGCATGTTGCTTTCATACTTGCGGTTCATTCGATGTGTATGATTATCAAGTTGGAATAAGCTGAGAAAGAAAAACTTCTGTATTTATTCTTCCATTAAGGAGAAACTCGATTTAAATCAAAGTCTTAGTGCCTCTTAGTTTAGTCTGTTACAGAGCCGTTTCCGTGTCCTCACGCAACGTTCCTCCCCACAAACGGTTTGTGGGGAGGAGCATTGCGTGACGACACGAAAAACGGCTGTGTAGCAGACTACTCTTAATTTTAAGCTTTACATTTGTACATGACCACTTATACGACTATCATTTATCATGATATGAATAGTAAGAGACTTTTTTCTTACATTCATCCTTATTCTACAGTCTTGTATTTATGATGTTCTCATAGCCGTGGTTTCTGGAACTCTCCAGTTATTATAATAACTGTTATCCCTAATAAAGAATCCTAATCACTCATTTATGCTGCAATCTACCCACAAAATGCTAAACCTTAATCAGAATGAAGTGAGTGCTGTGCTCTGTTCGAAAGGGTAATACAAACAACATGATGGAGAAAAATGGCTATGTGAAATTTTGCCCATAGCCGGTTTATTAAACTCTTAAAATCCAATACAAATACAAACTCAAACTTTCATTAAACATGTATTGCCGGCGAAGGTGAGGGCAATCTTGCACAAATTTCATTCTTGGTAAAGGTATTACATAGTATTTAATATAATTACAAAATTGCATCCTGCATAATCTGTTTAGATCAAATCAATAGTGCGGTTCCGAGGTTGTAACGCCCCTGCAAGCAACAACATCACAATCTCTGACACATTCAATTACGAAACAGATTCTAGAGCGGTTATTCTAATATACTTTATGAAAGCATCAGATTTCCATCTACACAAGTGCCTAATCTTCGTGTCGGAAATGCCTTGTTCAGCCGCATAAGTAGCAGCACCAATCCTAAAGCTGTGTCCTTTATATCTATTGGGATCCAAGTTGCACAGCCGAATAACTGAGCCAAGCATTTTACTAAACTTGCTTCTCAAAACTGGGGACCCATCATGATTAATAAAAGGTGGGCCATGTACTATGCCACGAACGGAAACATAATCCAAGAATGATTGAACAGGACATGCTTTCGGTTGGCTATTCAAAACTATAGAAAAAGGATTTTGATTGTAATTATGTTTATAGCTTGTGAATGTAATTATCGAGAAATCACATCGCCATTCCCACTATGTTTTTTAGGAACTTGATCCAGTCGTAAAAGGTTACCATTGATACTGTCTCGCTTTGACACTACTGTGATTTCACCAATATGAAGAAATGCAAAAAATGCCATAGCACGCATGGCCTTAAACATAAATAATTCACACTGAGAAACAAAAAATATCTAAACCTTTCATGATGCGAACTAAAATGGGAAGGGTAATAGGCAACCTTGAGTCCAGTTTGTAACCAATCTTACCATACCCTTTAAGCATCTCACTAATGTAGAAAGTTTTGGTAGGATCCCGTAGACCGGCTAAGCGACGGAAATATCCAGGGNGGTTGTAACGCCCCTGCAAGCAACAACATCACAATCTCTGACACATTCAATTACGAAACAGATTCTAGAGCGGTTATTCTAATATACTTTATGAAAGCATCAGATTTCCATCTACACAAGTGCCTAATCTTCGTGTCGGAAATGCCTTGTTCAGCCGCATAAGTAGCAGCACCAATCCTAAAGCTGTGTCCTTTATATCTATTGGGATCCAAGTTGCACAGCCGAATAACTGAGCCAAGCATTTTACTAAACTTGCTTCTCAAAACTGGGGACCCATCATGATTAATAAAAGGTGGGCCATGTACTATGCCACGAACGGAAACATAATCCAAGAATGATTGAACAGGACATGCTTTCGGTTGGCTATTCAAAACTATAGAAAAAGGATTTTGATTGTAATTATGTTTATAGCTTGTGAATGTAATTATCGAGAAATCACATCGCCATTCCCACTATGTTTTTTAGGAACTTGATCCAGTCGTAAAAGGTTACCATTGATACTGTCTCGCTTTGACACTACTGTGATTTCACCAATATGAAGAAATGCAAAAAATGCCATAGCACGCATGGCCTTAAACATAAATAATTCACACTGAGAAACAAAAAATATCTAAACCTTTCATGATGCGAACTAAAATGGGAAGGGTAATAGGCAACCTTGAGTCCAGTTTGTAACCAATCTTACCATACCCTTTAAGCATCTCACTAATGTAGAAAGTTTTGGTAGGATCCCGTAGACCGGCTAAGCGACGGAAATATCCAGGGGCAGAAACATAAGTATTTGCTGGAAGAATATCTACGATTAAATACATGTGCAACAAACGATGCCAATGTGGCCGGCAACGCTGGAAAAGAAATGTGTGAGCTCTGTAAAACACTTATTTGAAATTCTTCATTAAGCTTCCATGCCCTACGATACGTTGGTACTGAAGACTTCTGTAAACTAGCAGATAGAAGATCATGAACTATAGATGCCAGTTTTCAAGGAGTAGATGGGATGGGATTGCCTAATGGGATCGAAAAGCCTAATGAATGTAAACAATGTGGTAAATGTTTTGTCAGAGCGGGAGACCTGAAGAGACATGAGAACTTGCACACTAAAAATAGGACATATAATAGTCGTGACAGTAACGAAATTCGGCCGCAACGTTTTCTTCGTAAGTGTGAGAGAATAGGAAGTAGTACAAGTTCAGGATTTACAAGCAACACTTTGTCTTTGAGAGAAACTGTAACCCCGGGGGGGGGACTCCGCATATGAAAGGGGTGGGGATGCTCGTCGGAAATTTTCAATTGAACATCTAAAGGAGACAGATCTGGGTGTGGCCCAGGCTTTTTTTAACCCCTAAAAGAGACCATGTTGAAACACAGACAATAAATATATTTTTATATTTTTCGCGTGCGATCCTAAACGAGACCTTCATGGCTAAATATGATAACGTTTTGCCCAGAACACCCTAAGTGAGACCAAAATCCGAAATTTACACCCCTGAGCGAGACGACGAGCATCCCCACCCCTTTCATATGCGGAGTCCCCCTCGGGACTGTAACCAGTAAAGACCAGCAGCCAGACATCATTGAGAAACACTGCTGTTGGATTTGTCAACAGAAGTTGAGTAGTGAGGCTCTTCTTTGGCAACATTATGAAAATCATATGAGACATGCAGGTGCAAATGGCCCTTTAAGTTAAAAAAAGCTGTCTTTTAAAAAGGATCTTTTTCAACGGACAGTCTTGTGCGACTGCAATTTTTCTCTCAACTTTGGTACCTGTATAAAGAAGTCCTTATTCGATTTGCTTCTATTTAAGATTTAGTTACATCACAGAGATAGAGACTGGTCATCAGTTGGCTTTAATTTTAATATAGTTTGTATCGTGCTTCTGCTAGGCAAATTCATGTGTTAATTTATTTTTCGTAGAAGGACAGAATAATTTTTAAAAACTACAGTTCTATACGGAAGTCAGCAGCCATGGATAACCCTCACGTGCAAGGTGTTTTTGGATGTGAGCGGTCTTTGCATCGTTTCACTAACCTCCCGTTCGAAAAAATCTTACATTGTTTCGCTTTTGCAACAAGCAAATAAAACTTACTTTTTAAGTTTTCCAATTTCATCGTCGAATGATTTATCAGACTGCGAGGAGCGAGAAAAATCAAGAGCGCGCGAGGAAGGTGACACGCAGAGGGTAAAGGAAAATGTCTTTCACCTGCTTCTTGCTTTTCTTGTCGCGTGGCAATTTCCGGGCGCACTCATGTAGTCTGCTCGCTCAACTATCACTGAGGAAAACGAGACTACTTGTAGAGTTCTTGCTTCACCCGCCGGCGTCGTAGTTGCTTTGCCAACCTCGTTCCTAGGTGAGGAGAGGGGCCTGGGAACAAGGTTGTCTGTTAGTATTGACCACTCCAGAAAATACCATAACATACCATAATGCTCTTTGTTTGTCACCCCAAAATTTTGTATACGCATTGTTTTCGGTTTCTCTTGGGAGTTAAAATGTGCCCAAGAGAAACTGAAAACAATGCTTCTGCAAACTTTTGGGGTGATAAACAAGAGCATTATGGTATGTTATGGTATTTTCTGGAGTGTTCAATTCTCATTCATAATAAGTAGCCAATTTTAACTCTATTAATATGTAAGATATTTTTGAGAGTATTTCATATCTTGTCCCTGATTGTGCCATAGTCAAGTTTTGGTATTTAAATATTTCTTAATTTTGTAAGAATTTCGTACTTGTTTAAGGTGATGTTACACAAGACGATTCGCAACAATGACTTTCAGCGCAACACATCATTGCAATATTAGAACAACGTTGCAACCTTCCAAAACAATGTTGCAATAACATTGAAATACTGTACTGCACTAGAAATCGTCGTTGCGAATCGTCCCGTGTGACATCATTTTTATTAGTCTTAGAGGAAGAAAGTTAACCCCCTCCTCCCCTCCCCTAGTTATTCTTTATCAATAAATGATACATTTTGTTAGTCAATCACGGCTGTAAAACTTTGTGTGGACTAATCCGTGATGGTTTATTTACCAGCTGGAAGTTCGGATTTGTTTCTGATCTCCAACCTTCTCGTTCTTGAGCTGTTCCACTCTGTATTCTAGTTTTTAACGGAAAACTGATTCCACCGCCTTTTCTAAATCAAATAAGCCCCCCCTCTCAAATAAGACCCCAGCTCTATCCCTCCCCCTCCCCCCTGAAATGGGCTTGAAATAAGTACAAGAGGATTTACGGTCTTATGTTTGGTTTCTTTGAATCCAAGGGAACTGTTCGCAGTAGAAAGTTACCCATTTGATAGAGGTATAAAGGAATATTTCGGTATGTTTGTCTCCTTCAAATGTAGTGTTGACGCATTGAC